TCAGCATCTCGGTGTCCCGACTCAGTACTCCACCGTTCACGTTAGAGGCGGCAACCATATGAGGCGCCTTTGCAGCCCTTCCTATAAAAACCCTCAGTATTTTCAGCCCTTGCCTTCAAGCACTTCAACATTGTGTTAAGTTGTACAGAAAGTTCTGGAAAAGAAATGGTCACAACGCAGACTGCCGAGATCCAGAACAAAAGTCATTCTGACCCACGGCACGGTGTCCTCGTCCACGATGATTTTTTGGCAACGAGAGGAAAGTTAGATGCAGGTTGAGTGAAGAGGAGGAGAAGGGAGCGAAGGGGACAAACGTCACGCTGCTGCCCGCAGCAGACATCCTGGCTGTCCGTGAAGTGTCCTCCACGACATAAGGTTTCTGATCCTCCCTCTGGCCTAGAACACCGAACAGCACTCAGGCAGGAAAGCGCTCTGGCCTGTGCTGACAAAATGTCCCTTCAGCACTGTGGACTCGCTGTTCAGTTTAACGGCTCGCCTCCCCGCCCTGCTGAGGTCATTAAAGTGTTCCAAAGCCCCTTCAGAACTCAAAAATAGTTTCTGTCTGCTGGGCAGGTGATAAATCTCATTGAGCCTGACAGGAATTTAATTACACTTTCTTCATGAAAACACCAGGGACACCCATTACCTGGATCTCTAAAGCTAAAGGCTTGCAGACCCCCCGCAGTTGAAAGGTTATGGACCAATAACAAGTTCTTCATCATTTAAATGGATGGGAGGCCTCCTTAAGTGCAGCCAGCTTAAATTGGACCAAATTAAAATTGGTCTTGGACTTTGGGGAAGGTAAGATCGGTTTTGTTTGTTTTTTTTTTTTTAACCACTGCTGAGAAATAGCCCGGTAAGTTTGGATCCATTAACATCTCCTAGAAGATGAAAAAGCAGTTTTGTTTTTGTTTTTGTTTTTTTGTAGACCTCATTGCTCCACTCACTGAGGTGTTAACAGAAGTAAAATGGAAGTGAATATGTTGTTGAACACCTGGATGTGTAGCCAGAAGGAAGTTCTGCAGGGAGCAGGGTGCTGAACCAGCCTCTGAGTTCTATGGCTTGCCGTAATGTTGAGCTCATTACCAACCGATTTAGAAAAAGGAAATTAAATGTAGATGTCTGCTGGAAACCCGTGGGGCAGCTTCACTGGGCCTGCTGTTTTCTTACTTACAGAACTGTCCGTTGCCACATAGCATTTACTGTATCTTCCTAGCATCACATCATCCAGAGGGGCTGATGTCAAAATGAAGCACAGCTCTGGACCCTTACTTCACAAGCAGTGGGACAAGATGCCAGCCAGGCTAGGGATACGGAGGAAGAGCCAGCAAACCAGATTTCATTTACCCTGGACCCTGTTCAAAATAAATGGGACCTTCAGTTGCCCTTAAGCGTGAGACGGAGGGAAATCTCACGGAATCCTGGGGTCACCATGGACCAGATGTAGCCTCGTAGTTTTCCCTGGGCCTGGAAAGGCTGTCACATCAGGATTTTCACGTGGAGCAAATTCTGCTTTACAAATCCTCTAAGGTCAGCCCCTGATATTTTCTGCTTTGTGATTACATTGCTCATTTGATCTCCTGCCACCTTCTAATTTCCTTCATCTTAAAAAATTTTTTTTCCACTGGTCATATGTCTGTATCCACTCCCTCCCCCCCTGTGGAGATTTCACAACATTTATTGAAATCACAAAATCAGGGCTAGGAAACAAATACTCAAGTCATAAAGGTATGTGGCTCTGGTCCTGTTCCCATTGCTCTGAATAGGATGGCGTGGATTTATTATCCATGGTACAGAATAATAAGGCTTTCGAGTGGGCTCAGCTGGCTCAAACCCAGCACACGGCTGGTTCAGGAAATGTGCTAGGAGCTGCTTACGGTGCCATGTGGTCCTCTCTCATTTCCCCTGCATGTCTGCTTGTTTCTTGTCTGATTTGGATTTGATTTTTGTGAGATATTTTTGCATGCTCTTACTTGCATTTGTTTTATAATTTAAACATTGTTTTCTTCCTCTGCATCTGTGTTTTTCTGTTTGTTATTTTGTTTTGTTTTCACTAGGCGACCCCCTCCTGCAGTTCCAGGACGACCATCCTAACCCCCCATCACTCATCTCCTTTTGTTTCTGACAACATGTCCATGTGGTATTTAAAAGCCTTTCATTTGCACTATATGTCATATGTACATAAAAACTTTTATTTTTGATCTGTCTATAATAAAAACAAAGTGTATTCTATATAAAAAAAAGGAAATGTGTTCTGTTTCTTTTTCTCAAGAAGACCAAAATTAAAATAGGAGTTTGTTTCAAAACCAGGTAAGATGAAAAAATACATAATTAGATCTTTTAAGGAGCTTAAATTGAAAATGATTGACTTTAAGTTCTTAACGCATTGTGATTTAAGACTATTTGGTGGAGAATAATTATCTTCAGTGGAAGTGTCTGTCCAACAGAAGAGTGAAAGATGAAGTAAAAATCCTGGGTATCAAGAAAAGACACAGAAGCCTGAAATTTTCAGCCTGTCTCCAGGAATCCCATTAATAATTATTGAACAAAGACATTTTTTTCCTATTTGTATGACTTTTCTGAGAGATAAAATATGTAAGACTATGGAGACAAAAGATGTAACATTACAGGAGAAATCGTAGGTCTGAAACACAGAAATCTCACACATTCTATTTGGCAGAAACACATCATTGG